CAGGTAGCAAGAAAGCTGTGTTCAGACATCTGAAAAAGTTACCACCCAGAAAATGAAACGTGTCTTTTCTTTGCTGTTCCAGAACAGATATACCTATACAACCAATTCAGTAGAAACTAGAATCAAATCAGATGGAAACCAATCAAGGGTCGAACCAACCTAGAACTAAGGAGAGATTTCCTAAGAGTGAGAACAATTAACCAGTGGAACAGCTTGCCACCAGAAGTTGTGGGTGCTGCATCACTGGAGGCTTTTTAAAAGAGGTTGGACAGCCATTTGTCTGAAATGCTTGAGCAGGGGGTTGGACTAGAAGATCTCCAAGGTCCCTTCCAACTCTGTTACTCTGCTCTGTTATTCTGTTATTCTTTCTATCATCACGTGTACCCCAAGAAAAGTCTGGAATGGTATAGAATCTCTTCCCATGGACAGGGGGTTGGACTACAAGACCTCCAAGGTCCCTTTCAAATCTATTATTTTATGTTCTACAAAAGTCGCAGGAAACAGATTTACATTAAACATTATGGGACACTTCCATATCATAAGAGCCACTGGGCACTAGAATAGAATTAGAGTAGGAGATAGTTGGCATTCTTTCACTAAATGTATTTAAACGGAGTCTGGATATCATTTCCCAGAAATTGTATAGTTGCAAGATTCTGCATAGCACTTCCTGCTGTGATCAGAAAGACAGACTGGAAGACTTCCAAGGATCTTGGAATAAAATACTATTTTTCAGTGGACCCCAACATTCTTCTTCTTTTGGTGTACAGTTCTGTCTCATCACCTTCCTTCAATCTCTAGCTACAGCGAAGCCTACAAGGATGACATATCATGATTCATTGTGCTAGCCACGATTTGTTTAATCATTATTCTTTTTTTTATTTTATTTTTCCTTTTTTACTTTACAACCCCAAAAAATAAAAAAATAAAAAAATAAAAAATAATCATTATTATTTTAATAAGCCAGAACTGATTGAGTTCTGTTCTAAGCAAATGTTTCTCAATCTCAAGCAACTTGAAGATGTGTGCACTTCAACTCCCAGAATTCCCCAGCCAGAAATTCCCAGCAATTCTCCAGCCAACCCGACATCTTAAGGCTTAGAGCGCTGAAAATCATGTTCTAAAACTATGCCTAAGATCAAAGAGGCTATTTTTCTTCCATTCCAAAAGCTAGATAGAGCATTTCCACTATTGTGTGCTGATGGCATCACCTAGCCTGGTAATGAAACATCTGCAGGAAAATTACCAAGCTGGGGGAACCAAGAACTCAACAGTTCAAACCCTGAGCTACTGATATTCTCTACCGTTTCTGCTATTACAGGATGATTCATTTTGCTCTGGAAGATTATTGTGACATATTTGGGCTGCCGTGTCCAATTCCCTGCTCAGGATAAGACTTCAAATCAAAGCATCCCAGATAGGTGGCATTCCAGTCAGGCTTGAGGACACCCAGAGAAGGTCAAAAGGGTCTTACAGGTGGGAGCTTTTCCTAATGATCAAGTGGAAAGACAACCCTTTTATCTGTTCAGAGGGTTCTTAGTCTTTAATATTAACTTTTTCTCAGAAATTGATCTCTGACATGAAAACAAGGTAGGCTCTGCTGAAGAACAAAGGTATTTGAGATACCTTTATGTTGAGCCTGAACCTCACAGGAGAGAGTCTAAGCAGAATCAAGCTAACTGGTATTTGGTTGGGAGACACCAGGGAGTTAGTTCCAGGGCGATAGATAGGATGAAAGGACACAGCCAGGTTTGCCACTGTCTTCTGCCAGGATGTTTTTGAGCTTCCCACTTTTATCTATTGCCCTGGATTCCCCTGGGGTCTCCCACCCAAATATTACCTAGCCTGACTCTGCTTAGCTTCCAAGCTAAGTTACAACATCTGAAGCATGACATGTATAAGATAGATAGATAGATAATGATGATGGTAGATACATGAAAGCAAGGAAGGAAGGAAGGAAGGAAGGAAGGAAGGAAGGAAGGAAGGAAGAAAGAAAGAAAGAAAGAAAGAAAGAAAGAAAGAAAGAAAGAAAGAAAGAAAGAAAGAAAGAAAGAAAGAAAGAAAGATGAGACATGGGAGAGAAAGAGAGAGAGAGAGAAAAAACTAGAGATAAAATCCTTAGTCAGTATGGATGACATCTGGAGAACCCCAGGGGAATCCCAGTTCCAACAGGGTGTCAGCATTCCCACAATGCAGTCTGAAAAACCTAACAAATGCATTTGTTCAAGATGCTGGTCTTGGCCACCGTTAAGCTCGCTTTGCGATTTGTACTATGGGGTAAATTCAGCTTGTTCGCTAAATATTGTGTGAACTCAGACAAGTGGCTTAATTCAGGAACCAGTTCTAAGTGTGTTTCGGTGTCACGGGACAGCTGTCAGTCTCCACAAGTAAACAGAATTAAAACCCGTTGTTGTTCGTAACGACTTCTGTTCTTAAACGTAGTTAGCAGCCTCGAATACTTCCCTGGTGGAGAGCAGCGCGGTGTAAATCAAATAAATAAATCGCGGCTGCTTTTCCTACGAGGTAAATCTCATTGGGGGGACTCGAATCTCTGTTGTGATAGATATTATTTATGGACAGTGTGCTTGGATTGTCGTTGTTTTTGTGGGAAGGGAGATTCCTTTCTTTTGCCGGACGGCTGGGCAAAGCTCTTTCTTTTTCAAACTTCCCCTCTCTCCCTTCCCAGCCCCAGACCGTTGGACTTGCCAAAGTTCACTACCACAATATCAACAGGGAGCCAGGGGCTGGACTTCGGCAGCTGCCGCTCCAGAGGCTGGAGCTGGGCGGAGAGGGAAGGACGGGGTCTCAACGGACAGGTTCTACATTCACACGTCGGCGAGGGCTCAGGAACGCCCGGCGTGGGCGCCTCCTTCAACCATGCGACGGCTGGGCTTTGTCCCCGCCCGAGCTCGGGCTGAAGACCTGTTCGAAGCCGGCCTTGGCACCCAGGGCGCAAAGGGCTTGGCGGAGGGGAGTTGTGCTTTTATGTGTGTGTGTGTGTGTGTGTGTGTGCGTGTGTGCGCGCGTGGGTGGGTGTGTGGGAGGGGGCATTTCAAGCGGTGACCCCCCCACCTTCACTAAGCATCCTTCTCCCCCCCCTCCCCGAAGGCTGCCTACAGAGCATCTGCAGTCTCAAGTAAAAGCTTTTCATCCCCCTCCTCCATTCCCAGCGAGCTGCGCGATCGATAAGGGCAGCGCGGGAGGGGACCGTGCAGAGGAGCCGGAGAAGCCCCCCCTCCCTCTCGGCGCCCCCAGCTAGCTCCAAAAGCGGAGAGACGCGTGGTGGGGGGGTGGGAGGCAGACCCGAGGAAGGGAGGTTAGTTTGGGACTGGGGTGGGGGGGGAGTGAGGCGGGCGGGCGGACGGAGGGGCGATCCACACAAAGGCAGAACTAGAGCAAGACGGGCGACGGGGAGCGCGGCGGCGGCTGCTAGGCGGCTGTGTGGACACCAGCGCGCTCCCCAGCCTGGATGGATCGAGCAATAAAGCAGAAACGCCCGTGATAGATGGACCGGGAGATTAGGCGCGATGGAGTGCCGTGATGTATGGCTTGGTGATACAGTCCGGGGCGGAGGGGCCGACAGGCAAAGAACTGAGCCACGTCCTCCCACCTCCGCCAACCTGTCCCAAGACAGCCTTCCCACTTATAGCTTTCTCTATTTGCCTGCCTTCCTTCCTTCCTTCCTTCCTTCCTTCCTTCCTTCCTTCCTTCCTTCCTTCCTTCCTTCCTTCCTTCCTTCCTTCCTTCCTTCCTTGCAGCTATCTCTCCCTCTTCTTTCTCCAGGGACCGATCGATCATCTTTCCATTCTTGCTCTCCTTTTTTCTTCGCTTTCTTCTTTACTGGATCCTTCCTTCCTTCCTTCCTTCCTTCCTTCCTTCCTTCGCAGCTATCTCTCCCTCTTCTTTCTCCAGGGACCGATCGATCATCTTTCCATTCTTGCTCTCCTTTTTTCTTCGCTTTCTTCTTTACTGGATCCTTCCTTCCTTCCTTCCTTCCTTCCTTCCTTCCTTCCTCCCTCCCCCCCCCCCCCCCCCCCCCCCCCCCCCCCCCCCCCCCCCCCCCCCCCCCCCCCCCCCCACACTTCCAGTCCGCCAACTCCGGATGGGTCGGCCTCCCGTTCCCAACCAGTAGTGGGCGATGTAGCCCAGCCCGCCCCGGAGGGCCCCAGGTTGGGGACGGCTGGCGTCGAGTCTGCGCTTGGCTCAACCTCCAGCAGCCAGCATTGATTTTCTCCCGCCGCCTTTCTGAGCCCCCGCCGCCTCCGTCTCTCCCCCCCCCCCCCCCCCCCCCCCCCCCCCCCCCCCCCCCCCCCCCCCCCCCCCCCCCCCCCCCCCCCCCCCCCCCCCCCGCCCCGAGCGCTGCCTTCTACTTTCCCATTTTTCTCGCGCGAGGTGGAGGCAGAGCCCGGCCGCTGCTGGGCCACGGAAGCCGAGCGCCCGGCAGGCGAGGCCGGCAGGTGGGCGCTCGCTCCTCTCCCTCCCAGCCAGCCAGCCAGCCAGCCGGCAGCGGCGGGTCCGAGGCGCGCGCGTGCGTACCCGTGTGTGCCTCGGGGGCGCGCGTCTGGGCGCGCCTCCGAGCGGGAGAGGCGGACAGACCGGAGCTGCGAGCCGTGACGTCAAGGCGAGAGAGGGAGGCAGAGCTGAGAGGCAGCGCGGCGATTCGCAGCCCCGGCGAAGGTTGGAGGAGGCGGAGGCGGGCGAGCGAGAGGGCGAAGCGAGAGGCGAGCGCCCAGCCCCGCAGCCTCGGGCAGGAGGGGAGCCGTCGCCGCCGCTCGCGTGTCCAGCTGCTGCTGTTGCTGTTCCTGCCGCGGTCTCTGCCGTCGCTCCCGCCGCCGAGACTGCGGGGCGTCCGGACCCGCGGATGGCGACCTCCTGAGATGGCCGGCCATCTGGCTTAAGGCGGCGGGGCAGGAGGCGGGAGGCGGAGATCCGGAGGGGGCGGGCGGGAGGGGAGGAGGAGGCGGGGGGCGACCGGCTGGCCGGGGGAGAGCGAGCGAGCGATGGAGCTGAACCTCGACGGCCTGGGCAACCTCCACCAAGCCGGGGAGCTCTTGAGCCCCGCCGGGGCGCACGGCCGGCAGCCGCCGCCTCCCCCGCCGCCGCCTCCCCCGCCGCCGCCGCCGTCGACGCACCGCAACTTGGTCTCCTCGCACGGCCGGCCGGCCATGGTCTCCAGCATGGCCTCCATCCTGGACGGGGCGGGCGACTACCGGGCCGAGCACAGCTTGGGCGGCCCGCTGCACCCGGCCATGAGCATGGCCTGCGAGTCGCCCTCGGGCATGAGCACTTACACCACGCTGACGCCGCTGCAGCACCTGCCGCCCATCTCCACCGTCTCGGAGAAGTTTCCCCACCCGCACCACCACCACCATCACCACCACCACCACCACCACCCGCCGCACCAGCGCCTGGCCGGCAACGTCAGCGGCAGCTTCGCCCTGATGCGCGAGGAGCGCAGCCTGGCCGCCTCCATGGGCAACCTCTACGGCCACTACCCCAAAGACATGCCGGCCATGGGGCAGCCCCTCTCCCCGCTGGCCAACGGGCTGGGCGGCCTCCACAACGGGCAGCAGTCCCTGGCCCCCTACGGGCCCGGCGGCCACCTGGCGGGCGACAAGCTGCTCTCCCCCAACGGCTTCGAGCCGCACCTGCTCTCCCGCAGCGAGGAGCACCTGGCTCGGGGGCTGGGCGCGCCGGGCGCCGGCATGATGCCCGCCCTCAACGGCCTCCACCCGCACGCCCACCCGCACGCCCAGGCCAACGGCTCGCTGCTGGCCGAGCGGGAGCGGCAGGGCTCGGTCCCGGGCTCGGCCCCGGGCTCCGGCGGCGGCGGCGGGTCCGGCCAGGTGGAGGAGATCAACACCAAGGAGGTGGCGCAGCGCATCACGGCCGAGCTGAAGCGCTACAGCATCCCGCAGGCCATCTTCGCCCAGCGGATCTTGTGCCGCTCGCAGGGCACCCTCTCCGACCTGCTGCGGAACCCCAAGCCCTGGAGTAAACTCAAGTCCGGCCGGGAGACCTTCCGCAGGATGTGGAAATGGCTGCAGGAGCCCGAGTTCCAGCGCATGTCTGCCCTGAGGCTGGCCGGTAAGGGGCTGGGCGGGGGGGGGGGCGAAGCGCCGGGCGGCGGGGAGAGGAGCGGGAGGCGCGCGGGTCCCCGGGCTCAGCCGGCTTGGCAGGCGGGAACGCAGGCAGCGAGGAGCGGGGCGAGCCAGGAACTCCGAGGGCAGGAGGCCGGGAAGGAGCGGGGGAAGGGAGGCGCTGCGCTGCGCTGCGCTCTGCAAGTCAGGACCCGGTGTATGGTAGCCAAAGGCGCCCAGGACCTTTCAGCCTGCTTCCAGCGCGCAAAGCCTTTGTTTTGGCGGTTCAGCCGACCCTTTCCTCACCCTCCTCAAGGAATGCCTACGTGTGTGTGTGTGCGTGTGTGTGTGTGTGTACAGTATGCCGATCCGCGGGGCGCACACCGCGCCAGGATCGATTTTTGCTGGAGCTCTACCCGACCTTTCTTTCCACCGCGTGCCCGCTCTTCTTCTCTTTCCGTCTGGGGTCTCCCAAGGCACCTCGGCGTCCCTTGCCTGGCGAAGACGCCGCGGAGAAGCATCTGAAGGCGCAAGTGCCAGGCGCTGCACAGCAGAGGAAAGGAGCTCGTCCGCGGGCTGGACAGCAGATATGCTCCCTCTCTCCCACCCTCACCTCCATCACCCCCCACCCCCGCCAAATTCCACTGTTCAAAACGATAATGGTTGAGGGATGACCTGCCCTGCGCCTTTTGAATCCGTCCCGTTTGGAATGGCGGGACTTGAAAACCAGCCCGCCTAGAATGAGCCAGGCTAGGGGAAACGGGTGGGTATTATTGGGCATAAATGTATGCACAATATGCCCTGTGTGTACACAAGGTGCGAGCCTACACGCGCCTACAATACGTGGAGGCGTTCCTAAAACAGACCGTATTGAACGGAAGAGTCTGTGTGTGTGTTTTCATCCGTCCGTCCGTCCATCCATCCATTCCAGATTCTTTTTCCTCTCGGGCTGAGTTCCACACAATACGCTCCGAGGAGGCTCGAACGAGGCTGGGAGGTAGCCAAGGGTTCAAAGCGTTGTGGGAACCCAGGCATTGTCTTAGCGGGTTGTGTGAAGTAGGAATCACTTCGAGGCGGTTTCTTTGTTCGGACACCGCGCGCTCTGCCAAGGCAGCTGCAGTTGTGTTTGGTGAACCCCGGCTTTAAGATTTAGCGCGAGGTGTACGAGAACCGTGTGTGTGATGTGTATGTGTGTGTGGGGGGGGGGGGGGTGTTGCGTGCGCGCGCCTGCGCTTGTAGTCACTCAAATAGGTTGCTCTAGAAAGACTTCGGGTGTGTGTGTGTGTGTGTGTGTGTGTGTGTGTGTGTGTGTATGGCTGCTAGTACAGTGTGTGTATGGCTGCTAGTACAGCGCGGCTCTTTCCTAGAGCAGCTTCACTCGCCAAGTAAGCAGCGGTTCTTTGCTGAAGCGGCTACTTTTTAAACTTATTTCATGCGCAGCTGGGTTAGCGTTTGTTTTCCGTAGTCTGAGCTTGGGTGCATCCTTAGCACCTCTTTAGACAGCGCCTTCGCAACGGGGGAATCGGAGCGCCCTGTATGTACAACCGATTCCCACCGCCCGGTTATTTGTAAAAAGCAAAGGAAAAAAAAGCCAGAATTAATTTCTAGCCATTTTTTTAAAAAATGTCTCTGGTGAAAGAGAAGATGGGCATCCCTTCATTTATAGTAAGAATTTTTTGGGGGGGGGGTGATGCTTTGATTATTAGTGTGGTCCTCAATGCATTTTTAAGAGGTTAAATAGCTTTATTTAAAAAAAAAAACCATTCCGCTATTAGGTGTTAAAGGTGAGAGAGAAGGAATAAAAGGGAATATCTGAAAGGGGAGGGGGTGTCCTTGGTGCTCTCTGAGCTTGATTGTTTTCTTGCAAACTGGGTAACACCATCATGCACTAGCACTGATGATGTTACCTAGTTTGGGTAATGAAACGTCTGCAAGAAAACAAGCAAGCTCAGCGAGCACCAAGGACCCCTCGTGTCCTCCCTGAGCTACAAAGATGCTCAGCCTTAGCAATCTCTGTTGTCTGTTAACAGGCATCTCCTTCGAGAAATATTCACGCTCAGGGTCTGAAATCTCTCGCCTTCCTCTGCCTTGCCCAAACGCCGATCTCGCCTTCGGCCAGTGGGGCTGTTCGTCCATGGTTGCTCCCTCTACGTTAGGCAGGAACTGGGAAAGAAGAGATAATAATAATAATAATAATAATAATAATAATAATAATAATAATAATAATAATAATAATAATAATAATAAAATTGCAAAAGGCGGCCTTACTAGGAACTGCTTCCATGCTGCGACGATATCTGTAATACCATCAAACATCCACATCTGCCTATCCCAGGTCCTGGGTAAGGACTCGATAGGTAGACAAAATGCCAAATCCAGTCTGAACATCTGGCTGACTGTGCGATGATCCATAATAATAATAATAATAATAACAATAATAATAATAATAGTAGTAGTAGTAGTAGTAGCAGCAGCAGCAATAATAATAATAATAATAATAATAATAATAATAATAATAATAATAATAATAATAATAATAATAATAATAAAAAATTGCAAAAGGCAGCCTTACTAGGAACTGCTTCCATCCTGCGACGATATCTGTAATACCATCAAACATCCACATCTGCCTATCCCAGGTCCTGGGTAAGGACTCCTTAGGTAGACAAAATGCCAAATCCAGTCTGAACATCTGGCTGACTGTGCAATGATCCATAATAATAATAATAATAATAATAGTAGTAGTAGTAGTAGTAGTAGTAGCAGCAGCAGCAGCAATAATAGTAGTAGTAGTAGTAGTAGCAGCAGTAGCAATAATAATAATAATAATAATAATAATAATAATAATAATAATAATAATAATAATAATAATAATAATAATAATAATAATAGAATTAGAGTTATCCTGGCTCACAAACCCAATTTACTTTTGCTCCCTCTCACTAACAACGATCACAGGTGGTCTCTAGAAGGGCAGGAAGGTGGTTGGATCGGCCTATTGTTCGTTCACACCTAAGGTATACTCCCCCTGAAGATGGGGGCTCCACTGCTTTATCGCACCTAATCCGCTCTCCCTCAGCTTTCTAAAGCCGCGGGGCCACTTTGGCTTCGGGTAGAGGGGGGGAGGGGCTCAGTGGATCGCCTGGATTTCTATCTCATCCGGAGAGTGAATAGTTCGTCTCCTTTTGTCCCTCTTGAATCTGTTGCCAAATCGATTCCGAAGATGAGTTGGAATTCTTGTGGAAGGGGAGCGGGAATTCCCCTCCCCCCAATTTGTCATTTGGAAGCCTAGAGTTCAAAGGTGGGGGCTCTGGGGAATCCAGCCCCTTCCTCTCCTTGACAGAACCTCCCCTCCCTCCTCCAATGCAGGGTTTCCCTCCCCCCCCTTCGCTTTCGTAGCTGCTTTGAGGGAAGGGTGGGGTTTTTAGCAGGGGGAAGTGTGGTTTTCCTCTTTCTTTCCTACAATCCTTCCTTCCTTCCTTCTTGTCTTCCTCCCCCCCCTTCCTTTGTTGCCCACCTGTAAAAAAGGCACAAGCCTGAGCAATTTTGCTACACACACACACACCAGGCCTAGCCATATACAGCCCTGCAAAGGTCCAAGGGCCTCTAACCTCTTCTTCCCTCTGCCTTCTCCCCCACCCCCACCCCCACCTTCCCCACCACTCTCCCTTTCCTCTCCCTCCAGGTGCAGGGGTAGACACGTTGTGGTCACCATCTTGATTTGTTTGACCACAACATGCAGACACTCCAGTCCTTCATTTCACCAATGGCAGCGCGGATCAATTCTCTCTTTATATATATGTGTGTGTGCGGAAGAAAAGGCAAACTTGGCTAAAAGGAAACGTTTTGGCCACTTCTGTTGAGGAGGAAACCAGTTCCATCCAGGAGATGATAGAAGAGGAAAATTGAGGGAAATCTCATCGGGGCTTATTTTGGGGAATTAGGGAGCTCTTCCCCTTGGCTCTCAGTCTTTCATATCCATAAAATCCAGGGTTGGCTTTATCATTTAATTACCAGCTTACCTATCAATGGGAGAAAAATACCATTATTAGGAACTTTTTATCTCCTCCTAGCTGGTGATAGGTCTCTCTCCTTGGCCCAGTTTCTCCTGCCCTGGCCTTCAACATTCCTAGCTATCACTGTCACGTTTTCTTGTGGCAGTGAGTTCTGTAGTTTATTCTTTACTTTTGTCCTTCTCCTCCTCCTCCCCCTCTTCCTCTTCCTCTTCCAGCTCCTCCTCCTTTCATCCCTCCCTCCCTCCCTCCCTCCCTTCCTCCCTCCCTCCCTCCCTCCCTTCCTTCCTTCCTTCCTTCCTTCCTTCCTCTTTTGTACAACTCAAGTTAGCACATATAACCATTATCTTGGGTTGATCCTAAGTTCTTCTACAGTAAGGAAAAACACATTTTCTCCCCACTGTTCATAAATGCCCTGTTTTAAACACAAACACTCCAAAATATACATTTGAGAGTGCTGTAACTATGACACAACATCATCGCACTATTATTATTATACACTCAACACACTATAAGAAAGGCGTTCTTCGCACATTAGTTCACCCAGATCAGGCACCAACCTAGTGTCTGCATTCTTATAACTTCTTAACCTTTGCTGGATTTGGGGGCAGGTGAAAGCAGCTTTTACATTTTGAGCAAACCTAGTCTCTTTGATTAAGGTGTGGTTCCATGTAATGTGTGAATCTCGAAAATGAGTTAATCCTGGGTTAAGCTGTTGTCTGAAGGCAGACTAATGGGTCATTTATGGTGCTACCAAAGTATGAACAATTGTCATGAATTTCTGCAGGAAAACTATCAGCCTTACACCGACAGAGGCTTGATCCAAAATTCCAGCCAGGAATTCTTTCTCTTTCTCCAGAAAAGAAATCTCCTCTACGATAAATGAAAAAGTTGGGGGTCTTAAGTGTGGCCCATTTCTCAGGCAACTTTCCCCATCTTGGTGTCCAATAGGGTTGGACTACAACTACCATTTCCCCCCCCCTGCAACGACAGA